TTCTGTACAGCTGCAACAACTTGCCAATTTTTATATACTATACCCTGACCAATGAAGGCAAGCATGCCATATGCCTTTGTGACTATATTGACCAATTTCAGGGAACTGTGGACCTGTATGCCTGGATCCCTCTATATGTTAATGCTATTTAGGTTTCTGCCATTTACTGTACGCTTCCCTCCTGCATTAGATCTTCCAAAATGCATCACCTCGCATTTGTCCAGAATAAACTCCATCTGCCATTTCTCCATGCAAGTCACAAACCTATCTATATTCTGCTGTGTCCTCTGGCAATACTTCTGATTATCCACAGCTCATTGAATCTTCATGCCATCCACAAACTTACTAATCATGCCACCTACAGTCTCCTTCAAATCATTTATAACTATTACAAAGAACAGGATTACTGTAGAACATCGCTGGTCCAGATCTCCAATCTGAAAAATACCCTTTCCCCGCTACTCTCTGTTTCCAACAATTAAGACAGTTCTGTACCCATCTTACCAGCTCCCCATAGATCCCATGTTACTTCCCTTCTTTTTTATCAGCCTGCCATGAGAGACTTGTAATTTCCTGACCTGCCTCCCTCAGCATTCTGGGATAGATCTCACCAGGTTATAGAGTCATAAAGTCATACAGCATAGAAATAGACCTTTCCATCCAACTCATCCATGCTGACCATGTTTCCCAAATTAAACTAGCCCCAGTTGTCTGCATTTGGTCCATAAGCCTCTAAACCTTTCCTAATCATGTACCTAATCATGTAACTGTACCTGTATCTACCACTTCCTTGGCAGTTCATTCCACATATGAACCACCCTCTATTTAAGAAAGTTGCCCCTCAGATTCCTTTTACATCTTTCTCCTCTCACTTTAAAATTATGCCCTCTAGTGTTGAACTCCCCTACCGTAGGGAAAAGATCCTTGCTATTCACCTTATCGATGTCTGTCATGGTTTTATAAACCTCTCTAGTGTAACCCCTCAACTTCCTATGCTCCAGTGAAAAAAGTCCCAGCCTATCCAGCCTCTCCTTATAATCGAACTCTCCATTCCCAGCAATATCCTTGTAAATGTTTTCAGAACGCTCTCCAATTTAATAATATCCTTCCTACAGTAGGCTGACTAGAACTGTACACAGTATTCCAAAAGTTGCCTCACCAGCATCCTCTACAACCGCACCATGACGTCCCAACTCCTCTACTCAAGGTCTGAGCAGTGAAGGCAAGCGTGCTAAACACTTCCTTTTCCACAGGGATCGGTATTGGGTCCACTTTTGCTTGTCATTTATATAGATGACTCGGATAAGAATTTAGGAGACATGGTTAGTAAGTTTGCAGATGATGCCAAAGTTGATGGTATAGTGGACAATGAAGAAGGTTATCTAAGATTACAAAGAGATCTTGATTAAATGGGTCAATGGTCTGAGGTGTGGCAGATGGAGTTTAAATAGATGAATGTGAAATATTGCATTTTGCTAAAACAAACAAGGGGGGACATGTACAATTAATGGTAGGTCCCTGGGTAGTTTTGTAGAACAGAGGAACCTTGGGGGTCAGGACATAATTCTTTGAGGTCTATGTCACATTTAGACAGGGTGGTTAAGAAAGCTTTCATCTTACCAAAATTTAACACTTCCCATTTATCCAAATTAAACTCCATCTGGTCACAGGTTTCCAGTCCAAAAAAACAAGTCTCCCCCCCCCCCACCCTCTGTCTCCTACTGTCCAGCCAATTTTCCATTCAATTGGCAAGCTCTCCCTGCACCCATACGATCTAACTTTACTAACCTGTCTACCACGCAGAACCTTGTCAAAGGCTTTATTAAGGTCAATGCAGACAACATCTGCCAGCTTGCCCTCATGTATCTTCTTCCTAGGGACTTGTCTAACTTAATGCTTTTCAGAACACCCATCACATTCTCCTTTTTTATATAGAATATCAACATATCCCTCCTGCAACTCACCATCCACCATGTCCTTCTTCTTTGTGAATACTGATGCAAAGGATTCATTAAGGACCTCACCCACGTCCTCCATGCATAAATTCCCCTTTGTCCTTGAGTGGACCTACCCTTTCCCTAGCTACCTTCTTGCTCCTTATATACGTACAAAACACCTTGGGATTCTCCTGTGTCCTGTTTGCCAAAGACATTTATGGCCCCTTTCAGCCCTCCTAATTCCTTGTTGAAGTTCTTTCCTGCTACCTTTGTATTCTTTGAGGGCTCTGTATGTCTCAGTTTCCTAAACCCTACATATGTCTCCATTTTCTTTCTGACTTAGCTCTCAATTTCTCTTGTCATCCAAGGTTCCCAAATCTTGCCATCCTTACTCTTCATTCTCACAGGAACATGCTGTTCTTGAACTCTAATCAACAAGCCTTTAAAAGATTCCCACATGCCATGTGGATTTACCTTCAAACAGGTGCCCCCAGTCTACATTCCCTAGTTCCTGCCTAATTATGGTAGTTAGCCTCTCCCCAGTTTAATACTTTCAGCTGGGGACTACGCTTGCCCTTATCCTTAAAAGTAACTTAAAACTTCAATAATTATAGTCACAGTTCCAGAAATGCTCCCACACTGGCATTGGCAGAAATATTCGAGAAAGGTTCTGGCAGGTTGGAAAATTGCTCATGTGATGCACTTGTTCGGGAAGGGGGTGAGACAGAAAAGAGGAAACTTTTCGACCCCACCACCAAAGACATTTTTCCCTCCCCACCCTTATCTGCTTTCCGGAGGGACCACTCTCTCCCTTGTCCGCTCCACACTCCCCTCCAGCCCCACCACACCCGGCACTTTTCCCTGCAACCGCAGGAAGTGCTACACCTGCCCCTACACCTCCCCCCTCACCCCCATCCCAGGCCCCAAGAAGACTTTCCACATCAAGCAGATGTTCACCTGCGCATCTGCTAATGTGGTATACTGTATCCGCTGTTCCTTTTGTGGCCTCCTCTACATCGGGGAAACCAAGCGGAAGCTTGGGGACCGCTTTGCAGAACACCTACGCTCGGTTCACACTAAACAACTGCACTTCCCAGTCGCGAACCATTTCAACTCCCCCCTCCCATTCCTCAGACGACATGTCCATTCTGGGCCTCTTCCAGTGCCACAACGATGCTACCCGAAGGTTGCAGGAACAGCAACTCCTATTCTGCTTGGTAACCCTGCAGCCCAATGGTATCAATGTGGACTTCACAAGCTTCAAAATCTCCCCTCCCGCTACCGCATCCCAAAACCAGCCCAGCTCGTCCCCGCCTCCCTAACCTGTCCTTCCTCCCACCTATCCCCTCCTCCCACCTCAAGTCCCACCCCCCATCTCCTACCTACTAACCTCATCCCGCCCGCTTTGACCTGTCCGTCCTCCCTGGACTGACCTATCTCCTCCCTAACTCCCCACCTACACTCACCTTTACTGGTTCCATCCCTGCCTCTTTGACCTGTCTGTCTCCTCTCCACCTATCTTCTCCTCTATCCATCTTCTATCAGCCTCCCCCTCTCTCCCTATTTATTTCAGAACCCCCTTCCCCTCCCACATTTCTGAAGAAGGTCTAGGCCTGAAACGTCAGCTTTCCTGCTCCTCTGATGCTGCTTGGCCTGCTGTGTTCATCCAGCTCTACAGCTTGTTATCTCAGAGGAAACTAAATGCCATTTAGCCTAAAAATCTGTCATTGGGGAAATGCTGAAGTCCATTATTAAGGAAGAACTAGAAGGGCATAGAAAAGCTTAAAACAATTAGAATCATCATGGTTCAATGAAAGTGAAATCATGTTTGACAAATTTGCGAGAGTTCTTTGAGGATAAAGCAAACAGTTGATAAAGAGGAATGGGTAGATTTATGTATTTGCATTTCCAGAAGACATTTGATAATTAAGAAACAAGACAGGAGCTTACTATATTTGGCATGGATTGAGGACTGGTTAACACACAGAAGATAGAGGGTTGTAATTAATTAGATTTTTCATATTGGAAAGACATAACTAATAGAGTGCCACAAGAACCAGTCCTCTGGCTTCAATTATTAACTATAATCATGATTTAGAGAAGGGACAGTGCATAATGTATTCCAAAAAAATAGGATGCTACGTTGTGATAAGAATATATGGAAAATGCAGAGGAATAAGGGTTGAGTGCACAGGCAAACTCTGGCAGATAGCGTTTAAGCTGAGAAGGTGTATGGTCATGTACTTGGTAAGAAGAAATGTTGGGGTGGTGCTGTTGCAAGATGACAGGGGGAAATCAGTGGTGAGTTGTGGGTTCAGTTTAATATTTACCCTGGAGTCAGAGCAGACTTTTAATCTTCTAACATTTCCTGACTAAACATTATGCTTAAATGAGTCAGTATCATTTAAAATCTCCATATTTAAGGTGACCTTTCTCAGAGAGTTCCAGATGAGCATAATTGACCCAAGGAAATGTCAATTTCCCCAGCTAATTCCCATGGAGTCAGCTGCATCAGGATTTCTGCATTGTATCAGAATGTCACTTCATTCTGCCGTGCAGATTGACTATCTGGCCATCGGAATTTCGAGGTCTATATTTCTGTAGCTGTAAGTGCTGTGATTGCTGTCTAGTCCTCCATTCTGTTTTGCATGTATTGATCTAATACATGCAACCTTTAAATTAATAACATGTTAATGTATGTGCACACCTAGAGATGTCTTCTAAATTACTGTTCATGATTGATTTATAGTTAACCATGCAAAATGGTTCTTTCAGTTTACAAAGCAGTGCATTAAAATCTAAAACAAGATCTAATTGGGGAAGATAATTCTGCACTGTTCAATTGAATCTATCATTTTTCAGAGTCCTGCAAAGTTAAGTGAGGATATAACATGAGTTGAAGAGCTGCGCTGCGTCAGTTTGGTGTATATTTCACTGACAGTGCTGTAGCTGGTAGCTAATTCAACTTTGTGGGGTCAGGAAATATGAGCTTATCAATATTCTTTCACTTAAAAGTAAAATGAAGATTGATACGATTTGCATTTAAAAAGAGTAACAACGATGTATGAATATAGCTTTTTATTATGCATAAAAATCAGTCATAAAAGCATGGTTATAATTTGCTAATAAAGAGCTAAAATAAGTATATAGAAGCAAACAAAATCCATCATTTAAGTGAACTGCTTTTGCAAGTGTATAATCATGAAGCAGCAAAACAAATTGTGGCTTCTTTACATTGACTATTTTAGATCTGCATATAGCTATTAAAAGAAAATTTGATTTCAATGAAATTAACAAAGTTGTGACAATTACGAGCAACAGCTCTGTCAACAAAATGACCTTAAGTCTCAAAGCACTCCAGGTGCTTTACTCAAATTAAAACTGGTCTGTACACCAAGAGAGATAAATTCATCAAACAACCTTAAAATCAACAGTATGTTAGAAAATAAAATGTTGCACATGGCCTATCTATTCCAATTGTATTGAAAATGTAATGATGCATCACTCCATGAATCTGTATACTGAATCTGCATAATGAAGAATTATGATTTTGTCTATATTTGAAAATATCAAAGACTTAATGTGAGAAATAACCAAAATCAAAATTAATGTATCAGACATGAATATACCATCAAAAATTAAACCACAGTGTTACTTAAAACCTTATTGTTTCTTATTCATCTTCATCGTAACATCTATTTCTCTTGATTTGTTCTTCAACTGTAAGTAGAAGAGTCCCATTTTCTAAGTGGCTGGTATTGGATAACGGTTCCATCAAACGTCCTGAGCTAAGACTGCCATAAGGCAGTGTATTCCTCACCATTGTATTTGGTTCAATGTCAGTATCCAAAAAATCACAAAATAAAGTATAATCCTTTTGGCTACTAACACACTTAATCTCTGAAGACTCTGTTTGACTGACATTAAGGAAGCTGTCTTCTCCTGAATTCTGATCCGCAGATGAGAAATGATATTCAGCATCATTTTGCTTACTGTTTGTTCCATTAACAGTTTCATTCAGAGATTTTGTCCCTTTCTTTTCAGGTTGCTTTAATGGGTTCAAATAGCTCTCTGCAAGTGTTTCACTGGTTAAATTAACAGTATCAGCATCTTGCTTAGAGCTAGTTACCAATTGTTTACCATCAGAAAAGTGTGAAAATCTTGCATCAATTTGACCGACTAGATCTACTGAGATGTTCTCATCTAATTCTTCTGTTGAAATTTTGTTACACGGATGTTTGAATTGATTTACTGCAACTTGATCTGGAAGAAAATCGATTGTTGAAGATTCTTCAATTGGGCTATCAAATTGCAGAAAATCTAATTGCTGCACATCCTTATTGTTGTTGTTATTGGAATTTAGGTCTTCAAGGTAATTTTCACTTTCAGTACCAACGATAGCCAAGGATTTCATTGTCTCTTCAGGCTCAACCATATTTCCTTCAAAGTCTTCTGAATCCTTTGCTGTAACTTCATTAAACATGTCACACATTCCATTTACACATACTTCATTTGTATTGTTTCCATCATTCAGTTCTACCTCCACATTCTCTTTACCTCCTATTTCAAACTGTGCTTCAATATCTGCCTTCTCAACATTTTCAGTGTCAGAATGTTCATTATATAAGATGTTTTCTGCTTTTTCCACTGTTTTGGTGTGTGATTGCAGTGTGTTGACTAATGGTTCTGTAGTTTCCTCACACTCAGTTACTTGAGAATTCAATGTTTGCTGACTGGAACCTTCTGGAGGCCATTTTGGCTTTGTCACTTTCACCTCCTCTTCTACACTGAAGGTTTTCTTATTTTCTTCAATAGAAGGTGGCCAGTTGATATTTAACTTATTTCTCTCTGTAGTCTTTTTGATCTGATCAGGCAAGTTGTTCAATTGTTCCTCTGTATTCTTGCTCTGTTGCTGTACATCATTTGAATCATCCAGCTGATAAACCTCATTGCTAATGGTTTTCTTTTCCTTCATTTTAGTGCATCCTGCCCTTGCCTTATTGGCTGGAGAAATTTTATTAGCAGAGAAGTTGGTTTGGCTGTTATTTATCTGGCCTCCTTTGCATGGTATGTGCCCAAAACCTTCATCATAGTTGCCTTTGGATTTGAAAAGCTGCTTAAAATGAGGTTTGCAGTACATTTGTCCATGGAGCGATGCATAATTTCCAAGACTTGTGAAAGTAAAAAGAATATGAATTAAGGTTATCATCCTAAAGAGATGTATTTCACTGGCACAGAGACCATCATTAAATTACCTTGGCCTTGATCTTACTGTCCTGACCCAAGACATTTCTAAGATGTCCACCCCATTCCCATCACTATCAATTTTGAATTATGTAGGATAAGGGTGGAGCGGTTTGGGGCAGTGAAGTTCCTGGTCACAAATGTGGAAGCAACTGTCCCAGTGTTGCTGGCTCTGTTGTGGAGATGAACATTTCATAACCCCTGCAATTTTCATGGAGTCAGGCTGGCTTTTGTAACCAGAATTTTAAACCTGCGAGTTATTGTGGACCACAGCAGAATTTGAGAAAAATTTGATGTATAATTTCAAAATATATTGTTAAATTATCATACCATATTGTATTACGGCATGTGAAGTGACATATTTTTAATACAATGTTAGGGCTTTTTTAAAAATATAAGTGACCATGAAATTGAACAGCATTCTGAAAGTGTAGAGGTCTTCAGATACATGAGAATGTATTATTTTCCAGATGAAGTGTTTATCTGCATTGGACAATGACGAAATTTGGATTTGACTCCGGCAGTTGCTTTGTTTACTTTCATGTATTACTTGACTCAGTCATCTTCAGAACTGTCTGAAAGCTTTTACAGATAGCTGAGTCTCTGGCTGTCTTCAAAAACCTTAATATATTAATCTCTGGAAGCTTTTTTGACTCAATTATTAAACAAGTCTCATTACAATGTTTGCCTGAGTTCCAAATCCACGAATGAAATGAGCTCCACCTGGGTTGCTGAAACATCTGTCACAGAATCTCAGAACTTGACTGGTTTGATACTTTTCTTAATCCTTAATAGAATTATATTTTTATTTCAAGTAGTTTAAAATGATTGTTGGTATTCTGACCTGTTAATAGGATTATGTTTTTTTCAAGGTGATATTGAATAACTGTTCATCTCAATAGTTTAATGATCTTTTGATAGAATTATGGGTTATTTTCAAGTGTATTTTGAATTGCTGTTTATTTCTACAATTTAATGAAAATCTCTTACCGTCCAAAGGCTATTATAGGACTTGTGACTTCTCTACATGGTATATACTGATTAAATAAGTATACGGGAGCGATGAGGGTAAGGCAGGTGGGTATGGAAGGTTATGCAAAGGTAAGGTGATATGGGTGTTTAGGGAATGGAATACATTAGGAACCTATATGAGCTGATGGGCAGAAGGGGTATGGAGAGGGAGTTTTGATGAGAGGGAGGAGGTACAGTAGGTGAATGGGAGTCAGAGTGGATGAACATATTGAGTGGCCTCACAATCATCTCCAGAACTTGGCCAATGTCCCATTGAATTGTGGTGGCTCTTTTATCTTGTCTGTCTCATCAACCATCCACCCCCACCATGTGTATACTTCCAGAGGCAGTCTGTCTCCACCACTGCACCATGAAGATTGCATTAACAGGCAATGACAGGTGTGAAGTGGGATTGTGACATTGGAAGTTGGTCCAATTCCTGGTTCCTACCTCTAACATAAAAATCTAGCTTCTTAAGTCAAATGGTTGTCCTAGTCTGCTTGTCGATAATTTTGCTGCTACAACATAACATGCATTACATATTCAAAAATGATAGAATCCTTCAATTATCACAGATTTAAGTATATAAATTAGGCTAAATGCACTAAGCATAACATCTATTTATGAAGCAGAATGAAAGCAACTTGATCAATATGGCATTTCTTGTTTTCACTTAAAGAGAATGGTCAAATATTAACGTCCAATTGAATTTATAGAAAAATACCATAAAAATATTTGTAGAATCCTTAAAATTTGCATTTAACATAATACAGAATAAATAACATAACTGCATAAAATAAATATGATTTTTTTCATAAACTTGGCTATAGAAGAGAATTATCTCTCACCTTAATTTATTGTTGCAGTGGTGGCAGCGGAAACAGGACTTATGAAAGATTTGCTTGTCGGCTGCTAGACTTTCCATGGGATATACTATCTTTCGACAAACTGTGCAGGTCTCCCTGGTAAGACCCTGTATCTTCTAAGACAACAAATACATGTTACAGTAGCTCTCACTTGTTTTCTTTCTAACCCTGCATTTTTCCCCCTCAGGTAGATTATATCATATGTCCAATAATAAAATGTTATTCTATTCATACAAAAATATATTTAATCCTTCCAGTGAACATCTAACAGATGAACTGTAAAATTGGGGCTGTATTTCTTTGACTAATTTACGTTAAATACAAAGTGTTATGTTTAGAAATTGAATGTTCAGATTTTATGAAAAGAATCCCAAATATTATTATATAATATATAAACATATAGTAATTCAAAATGGATTTGCTACTTTATTTTACAGGCAAGAATTATTTATTAACAATTTCTCTGAAATTATCCTTCCTGTTAACAAGGTGTATTCAAATTTTAATAAGAATTCACAGAATTATAATGTTAGTTAAATAGTATTATACTCAGGTTGATGACATTTGTAATATCAAATTGCAGACAACAATGTGTTTCTGTTCTTATATAAATTGTGTGAGTGTCATAGGGCTTATTTTATTATTCTGTGTCCCTGGTAAATGCTCAGTTCCTAGGTACGAAGACGAGTAAAAATGTGTATGCTGCCTTTAACACAGATTTTTTTCAGCAATCAAAGCTCCCACATCTGTCAACTATTTGTACTTCTGCAAACCCCTTAAACTTGAAACGTTAGGCATAAAGGGACATTTTCAAGTCGGAAGGCTGGGCCTAATGGCCAATGGGTCAATGCCAGGTCCTCAGCTATTTTCAACCTACATATATAAATTTGAGAGGTCTGAAAAGAGTAGGAGTAATATATCTAAGGTTGCTTCTGGTACAAAGCTAGGTGGAAAGTATACTCTGCAAGCTGATGCAGAGAGATTGCAAAGGCATTTAGACAGGCTTAGTTAGTAAGCAACAAAATCACAGAATTTAATGTGAATGAGTGTGAGGTTGTTCATTTTGTTTGTAAGAACAGGAAAGCAGAATGCTCTTTCAAAGGTGTGAAATTTGTTCGTGTTGATTTTCAGAGAGAATTGGGCATGCTTGAACAAGGAACTTAAAGTTAGCACGCATCTGCAGCAAATAATTAGGAAGGCAGCTGCCATTTATTGTAAAGGTTTATTTTTATTCATTCATGGAATTCATTCATAGCAATATGGTGCTAAGGCTGGATAATATGTGGCTTAGTAGAAACTTGCAGCTGGTGCCCTTGTCCTTTGAGATGATAGTGGTTATGTTTTGGAAGGTGCTGTCAAAGGAGTTTTGGTGAATTACTGCAGTGCATTTTGTAGATGGAATACACTTCTGCTACAATGCATTGATGGTGGAATGCTAAACCTGTTGGGGTGCCAACCAAGCAGCTGCTTTGCTCTGGATGGTTTTGAATCTCTTGTCTGGTATTGGAGTTGCACTAAGCAGGCAACTGTAGAGTACTCCATCACACTCCTGAGTTGTAGCTTGCAGATGGGTATTGGTGAGGTAGGGGTGTGTGTTACTTGCCACTGAAGTCCTAACCTTTGACCCTTTCTTGTAGTGACAGCATTTACATATATCTGGTCCAGTTCTGTTTCAGATAAAGGCAACCCCCAGGATACTGGATAGTGAGGGATTCAGTGATGGTGATGCCATTGAAGAGATGGTTAGAGTCTCTCTTGTTAGAGATTGTCCTTGCCTGCCACTTATATGGGGCAAATCTTACTTGCACTTATCAGCCCTAGCCTGGATACCATCCAGGTCTTGCTGCATTTGGAAACAGACTGCTTCGGCATCTGAGGAGTTCTGAGTAATGCTGAACATCGTGTAATTATCAGTGAACATCCCCACTTCTGACCATGTCATGGAGGGTAGCCCAGAGAAAATAAACAGTTAAAAAGATGTAATATTTGGAAATGAACATACAGAACTCCATCCTGAAGTATACAAGACAAGACAACCAGTATGTGTCATTCACAAATTTTACTTTTTTTTTTAACTTTTGGGAGCTAATTGATGAAGCAAAACTCCTGTAATGATGTTCTTGGACTGAGATAAGTTACCTCAAACCACCACAGTTATCTTCATTTGTGCTAGATATTACTCCAACAACTGAAGACAGGATAGCATGGTGGCTCAATGGTTAGCACTGCTGCCTCACAGCACCGGAGACCTGGGTTCAATTCCACCCTCAGGCGATTATCTGTGTGGAGTTTGCATGTTCTCCCTGTGTCTGTGTGGGTTTCTGCTGGGTGCTCTGGTTTCCTCCCACAGTCCAAAGATGTGCAGGCTAAGTGGTTTGGCCATGCTAAATTGCCCATAGTGTTCAGGGATGTGTAGATTAGGTGTGTTAGCCATGGGGAATGCAGGGTTACGTGGTAAGGGTAGGGGGAGGGTCAAGGTGGACATGTTGGGCTGAATGGCCTGTTTCCACACTGTAAGGATTCTATGACATGATACATTTGTTTTGCCGTGGCTCCTTGATGATGTACTTGCTCAAATGTTGCCTTGATATTAAAGGAAGTCACTCTCATCTCAACTCTGCCTTTAGCTCTTTTGTCTATGTTTGGACCAAGGCTGTAATGGGAGTGAGAACTGAGTGGGGAATCAGCAAGAAAGTAGAGTTGTAGATCAGCCATGACCATAAAGAATGGCAGAGCAGGTTGAATAGCTCCTATGGTCTTCTTCTCATCCAATTTCTTGTGTTCTTGTGGCCATATATTGTGCCTATTATAGTGGAGGAGGCTGGCCTCATCAGAAATTCTGGTATGAGCAAATTTTAATGATATTGACAGCTGAAAAGCCATTTTCCTTCCAACCAGACTTCTGATACACCAGGGCATCTGAGCAAATTTGGAGAAGGCAAAGCAGAGGCATAACTGTTTAAAGTGGAAACATAGTCAGGCATTCACGTTTAGAGTATCACATAGTCTTACACACTTGACCCAGAAGAAAAGTTACTCAGTAGTACTCATGGTAAGCAGCTCATATCCTGTGATACATATTAACACACAGGAGACTTTCTAGTCTTGACATCTAACACTCTTTCTATCTAATTTAAAAATTCTTGCTAATTGTGTCTGTTGGATCCAGAGATTGCAACACCTATTTAAACAATATATTTATACTGCAGGAAATAACAGCATGTGATCACAGTAAGCATTAATCCACTGAGTCCAGACATTGGAATATTCTCCTCCAATATTTATAACTTGCTTCCACCTTGACTTGGTAAACAGGGGTAAAAACATAGAGATGAAATTTCTGTGCCTTTGGTATGTTCATAAGAATGTACACTTCTTTAAAAATACTTCCATATTCTCACAAGTAATTAGAATATCACTCTCTTCAATGTTTACTTGTTTTCTCAAAGGATACTCAAAGAAAACTGATTAAGAAAGAATAAAACCAAAATACTGTTGATGCTGTAAATCTGATACAAACACAGAGAATGTCTGAGAAACTCAGCAGGTCTGGCTGAATCTGTAGAGAGAGACAAAGTTAATGTTTCAAGTCTGGTATGACTTTTATATAGAACACAGTTATCAAGTAATATTTCATCAGTCCAACTGAAACGTTGTATAGCAGCAAGAAATACATTAGATAAAGCTCCAATTAAGGGTGCTGGGATGTAAAGTCCAACACAAGATTATCCTGTATTTACATTGCTCTAATGAAAATTGAGGAGACAATAGAGGTATTAGGTAGTTCATCCATCCTTGTGCCTTTGTGCCTTTAAGTGATCAATGAATAGCCAATATCTTGGACCTGTCACTATCTTACCCATGGGTGAGGTGGCCCTGGCTATCTAAGAAGCCTGGCAGCTGTACGTGTGTGGTTTCAATGACAGGTAAGGTGAAGGACCTTCTTTGCAAGTCCCCTGTGCTATCAAAGTCCACACCTCAGCCCCCAGACTAAAATCAGGTGTTTTAGCCTGTGCTCCCCCGCAACAACTCTCTCAAACCAAGCTCCAACACCTTTTACAAAGGCTTACCGGTTTGGTCCCTTCGAAATAGCCTCCACTCCCATTTATCCTATTGCTCACTAATGATTTTTGTTGATGATTGCCTACTGACTCAGCAGTAATATTTTGTTTGGCCAGCAGCTCTCTGAAGCAGAGCATCCAGTTCCTGAGGGGGTGAATAATTCACACCCCCCAAGTCTATTAATATCTAACTGAATTATAAATGACCCCATGGCAGCCATTCCTGGTTGGGTACCCCACCAAGTTGCTAGGTGGTAACATGGCACCTTATAAAAAGCAAAGCCCTGTAAAATCTAGCCCTGGATGACATAATAGACGCTAATCAGCTCATCCCAAGAAAAGATTCTGTAAGCTCCTATCTACCTTCAATAAAATGAGCAAAATAGTTGTAAATTTATATTGTCAATTTATTCTTTCTTAATCTTTCTCATCACCAAATTCATATTATTCCAGCAGATCATAACCATAATTTTTCATAGAACAATTGATCATTTTTGTCTTTATTAGCCTTCAAACCTGTTGTCATTTGGATTTTCATGGAGAAGAGTTCTTAATTGATATGGAGTAACATTTGCTGTCCCATTGAAGCCGGTGGGACAGGGAATAGACATGGGTTTCATGAAGGAGAGAGTTTGTGCCAAAGCATGCCACTGCATCATAGGAAAACAAGATTGCACAGGAGAGACTGAGTTCTGCACCCATGAAGGAGTAGAGTCCCCTTCTTGGACAGTGTCAGCAGGAACAGGCCACCTCCTCATGCAGCAGAGGCACCTCCCTGTTCAGCACAATTCCCTCTGCCTCCAATTCCTCCTCCTCACTTACCTGCTGCTCCTGTTCCTCTGTTGTTGAACTGTCCCTTCTAGGCCTTCACCGTCTTCAAGGTTCAGTGTGTAGCTAGTTGAGCCACTTATGTGGCCAAAGAATGGTCAAATCCTACCCCCACACATATTTTGCTCACATTGTGAAGACTTGTCAGTGTGTGGAGACACAGCCAAGTAAATCCTAATAGCCAAAAAAACAGCTTTGACAGTGCTTCAACACTAGCCACTGTTCATCCTCATTTGTTCTTAATTTGATGCCAAAGGCCAAATGCCACCTTAGGGATCAATCTTGGGTCATATTAACTACTGAAGTGGGGCTTCCCCCACTGTTGGCCACAGTGATTGAACTTAAACTCCCCCCTTAAAAAGCAGCTGAAAAGTTCAATTGATGACTTATGCATGTGACTCATCCACAAAGGCAAAAGCACGAGACAGATCTATACTTCTATATACAAACTACAAGAACCTATTCAACATAGAGTGAAGCCCTTTTACATGCCATTGAACAAAAGCTTCATTTCTATTTGTTCACCA